TTTACTTTTGTCGTCGTTTTTAGCAGGGTAGTGTAGGAAGTCAATAACTCTCAATTCATTGTAAATATCTACCTTTGCTTTCAACTTAAGAAAACGAGAGAACTCCTGCCATATTCGCTCAAAAAATTGGATAGAAGTAATGCCCATCTCAGATAAAGAGTGCTGAATAGAAGAGCACAGTACAAGTGTTTTGAGCACTATATTTTACCCATACACAGGTTTGTTCAGTTTGGATAGTACCTGCGACACCTTCTTGGAGATAAATACGTGCTACGTGGCACGTTCGCGAAAAAAAAATATTTGGCCTAGTTCTAGAAACGAACAACCCAGTATGTAGATTAAAAATAACAAAAAAAATGGTAATGAAGTATAATATGATTGAAATGCAATCAAATTTTTTTAAAAAAAAATTATAAATGAGATACAGCAGGTTAGGAGGTAATTATACATACAAAGAACTGATTTGTTTAATATACAGCAAGCAGGTGCATAACGAATTGCCTGATGCTCTGACATTTCAGTTTGAATAGTAGGGTCCTAAGAACTTGACTGAATATGAATATATGAATAGTATAGTAACAAGCAATGCTTTTTTAACACATGATGACATGTAAAGCACAAAGGGCATTAGTACCACAATAATAAGAAAATGATTTTTTTTTTATTTTGCATATGGAAACTAATCTGCACCTGGTTTCTAGCCTTTTGTACAACAAACTGAACTATCTAACTGATATAACTAAATACCTAAGCTGTGTACTTAACTGTTAATGGAAATGCAGATCACGGAACTATAAAATGTTTTGGAAAATAGATTATTGCAGGACTCTCCAAGGAGACGAAGCGAGAACTCTGAGGTGAAGATAGCAGCACCACAGCGGGCAGCCGACGGGAGCGAGTCCGGGGACCGAGCTAGGCGGAACATACTGGTGCCAGTCGGCAAGCGCCTGCTACCATGGTTGCCACATACCTGTTCTCGCTGGGGCTAACAGGCAGGGTGTGTCTTTGCGGCCGTAGCTGCGTACAAAGCAGAGCACGCGGAGGGTGATGGCCGGCGGGCGAGGTCGCCGTGTCTCGCGCCGCCACTTAGCCGGCGCTGGCGCCGCTGGCCCACGCTCCATTCTGTCCGCCCGTGCCCCACTCGATTTGCCCGCTCCAAGTGCTGCCGGCGTTGCCTGCTCAACCCCTGCCTCAGTGCCTACGGGGGAGAAGGGAGGAGGTGCAGGAGACGATGGAGCAGCGGGAGGAGGGAGACGCGCCGGCGCCGTGCTCAACCCGTGCCTTAGTGCCTGCGGGGGAGAAGGGAGGAGGGGCAGGGGACGATGGAGCAGCGGGAGGAGGGAGACGCGCCGGCGCCGGGGACGGGACGGGTCGTCCCCCGAGCGGGTTCGCGAACAGTCGCGACCTTCCGGGTTCGTGACTTAATGGGTTGGAGACCCGCGACGAGCCCGATCCAACGGTCCATATCGTGTTTTCGCCGGATCCAACGGTTTGTCAGTTAACGGGTGACGTGGGCCTAGCGGGTGCCCGCGGTTTGGGTGCAGGATTCATATTAAGAGATAGGATGGAGTAGGGGAAATATTATCGTTACTGATTATTCAGAACACAACCGATGAGCAGACACAATTATTTTTTACCACTTTGTGGTACATATGGAAAGCTGCAGCCTTGGCGCTTGCAGCTCAGAATGCCTTTGTCACAAGGGCCTTGTTTAGATTGTAAGTTTTTTCACTCCCTCTCTATTACATCAAATCTTTAACACATATATGGAGTATTAAATGTAGATAAAAAAATAACTAATTACACAATTTGATTGTAAATTACGAGACGAATTTTTTGAGCCTAGTTAGGCTATGATTAGACAATAATTATCAAATACAAACGAAAGTGCTACAGTGTCAAATACTGATTCCTAACCTCAATCTAAACAAGGCCTATGCATCCATTGCCCGATATTTTTGTCTGACAATCAATAGCTTGTGACTTTCTTCAATGGGAATGACCACACAAATCTGCCGCACTGGGACATCTAGTGCTTCACACAGAGGTACATAAATCATTCGTCAAGGAGTAATGCAAAGATTTTTAAGATTCATCGAAAGCTCGATACCACGGCTCATGTCCTAGCTACTCAGGCATTTAGCTCATCGAGCTCAACTAGTTCTCAAATACGGATCACCTATACCAATACTAATCATGTAAACAGCTGTCCTACAAGGATAGCCTCGCAATATGTAATTGGTGACTCATTCACCATCATTGCAGCAGACTGCTGCTAATAAAGTTTGCTTTTTTTATAAAAAAAAGCCCCTTGTTCTTATCAACCATTCCATTTGCAATGTGTAAGTGGAGCTCACCGTCATCACAGGCCGGTCGGCAATATATTATATGCTACAACTATAAAACGGTTTACATCCTTCTCAATGACTTGGCTTCCACAGGAATGAGAATACAGCACGAAGCTTCGTCTTGCTTTCCATGAACGGAACAGGGCAGTGAATGGGACGACCAAGCTTTACAGTAATAATAAATAAAAGGGGAGGGAATATCTTTTGTCTATTAGGGCTTGCTTGTTTCTCATGCTCTAAAATTTAATTACTAAGCTAAAGTTAAGTACTAACTTTAGACTACTCTAGTTCACTTGTGTAGTCTAATGAACTAGTGACTTTTTTAAGAGGTTGGTTAAATTTGACAATATTTTAGACTACATGTTTGGAAAATTCAAGAGCTAAAGTGGTTTAAAGTTTAGTGGCAAAACTTTAGACCACGGCATCCAAACGGGGCATTTTTGCTGCATTGCTCCCTTATGTTCTTCCTACCGGTTCCGAATGTACCAGAGTCTTTACTCCTTATTAATTATCTAGTCAACCAGTGATGTCACCCATAACCAGTCCGTTTAAATGGAGCTCACTGTCGTCACCAATAACGGCCAATAATACAACTATAAAATGGTTTACAGTAGTAAAGAAAAAGGGGAGGTAGTAATTTCCATATAGGAGCAATGCAGTGCAGAGGATGCGTCGGTTTCTAGGAGAATAGCACAAGGAGGAAGCTGCAGTGTAACTTCCGAGCAACATGACCTGCAAACCTTGTCTGTCGCTGTTGGCTTTCACTATCTGCGCCAGTTTTTACTTGCGAAATTGTCAAACCAGCGATCTGAGTTGCAGCTTTGCAAGTAGCAGTTGTTGCAGGGAGGTCTGACTGGCTTCCGGCGATGATTATTGGGGGCTGCAGACACCTCTACCTGCAATGGCGTGGATGCAAGGGGACAAACAGAGAACAACTGTTTAGCACAGTGCTAGCGATCCATTTCTCCTCTATGCAGGTTAATAATTGACCTGGATGCTATATATGTGGAGAAATTTTACAATGGTCAGAAAAACATGGGCCACTCATTGGGCGAGATCGAATGTTGGAAAAAATAAGAGGTACTCTATTCAAAGTATCTGAAGCTACCAAATAGGTGAGGATAGTACCAAATTAGGTGGGACCAGTACCCATATTTATTTTTTCAAAGAAATTTAATTATGTAATTTGTGTATTTTCATTAAGGGCAAAACTAAGGTCTCGTATTCCATCTTTGTTTCAATCTAAGCCCATTCTTGCTCTGTTTTCTTCTCCTCATCGTAAGGAACACCGGACCGCCGCCCTTCGCCGCCAGCGCCGAAGCGTCGTCCGTCTCTGCTGAGATCTGATAGGCGGTGGGGAGTCAATGTGCAACTGTCGTAGGCCGTGGTCCTCAGCAATAGCAAGGCGTCCTTGATGTTGCTCGGGGCCAACAGCATGTGGGGTGACCGGGGACGGAGGCGGGAAGAGAGAGCGGCACATAGGTGCATGCAGGAAGGAGTGGAGTGGAGCGGGATGCTTTCCAGGCCGCCGACCTGCTGCCATCTGACCACACCAGCACATTCTGCTTCTTTCTCCACCAGATTGCCCAAGCATCCACCGGTTCATCCTCCAGTCTGCGTACTAGCTCACTGGAGGCCGGAGCACGTGATCCAGCGGGCACAACGGTAGCCTCACCGGTGGCCACTTCGGAGACGCGCCGGCACAGTCTGTACGTCGACATCAACATCGCCGTGATTGCTCACTTATGACTTGAAAGGTACAGAAGCTCGTCGAGCAGCACCGCGTCATCGGGGTGGCAGCTGTGGCTAGGGGCTAGCCGAAGGCGGCGGCGCTGGATGCCCTGAGTGGAAGGCATCTGCGGACTGTGGCTAGCTAGTTTGAGATGCACGTGACAGTGAGCCAGCGAGGCACCATGCTGCCTTGTCGGAGAAAGGACAAAAAAAAACTCAATTACAAAATTACCCTCTACGACAAAAATTACATTTTATAAATTCTCTTTGTCAGATAATTAGCTAGAAAATAATACAAATGAAAGTATTTGGAAGTACCAATGGTACTTTTCCAACCATGTCCAAATACATAGTGTTAGTTAAGACAAAACTCAAGACAACATGAGGGCTAAAACTGAATTCACGATAATTTCAATCATACATATAGAGATCAGTCGTGTACAGAAATACAGCATAGCAAACTACAAACCGAATATTCACATCCAGGCATGAAAAAGTAGTTTTTATTTGTCTGACAACGTTTTTTGAAGCGCGGACCTTGACAAATTTTAAAACTATATATATAAGACGGCCCCCGAAATTGAAGTAATGAGCTCCTACAAAAATAAGTCTAAGCACAAATCAGTCGCCACCTTTGAACTTCTACCGCTTTCTCTTAGAAACCCTCCGGCTGGGTCTTGGCATGGCCTTCAGTGTGACGAATGCAACACCATGCGTGGATAACCAGCACAGAGCATAATCCGTGGGTTCTGGTTCATGGACCAAATAATCGAGCGCATCTGATCTTGCTATCTCCTCCAGTTGTTGCACACTACCACCGCTTCTATTTTCCTGTTTGCCTCCATACTGAATACGAATCATCTCATCGTTGGAGTACAAAGACACATGAGGCACAAAATCCCGTCCAGAACCAGAGGTGCGTTACGCAAGCTGTTTTGGTGCTGAAATACAGCAACTAAAATAGACAAGAATAACTGGCTCCGGAATTTCGATTGAAGAATTCTTAGCTAGAGTTCCGCAGCTATTTCCATTGCAACATATTGGATCGGGGCGGATTAAATCTGTGAGATGTCCATATTTTTCTTTGATGTAACTGGGTGGAAGAACATAGGAATGGAAAGTGTCCTGCAAATTAGGCAGCAGCGTGAGTTCTCCTATCGCAGATTCAGCCACAAGCTTGAACTGAGATGTCAACCGCTGGATGCACTTAATACTGGTCCCTATGATATCGGTGTCTTCAGAGATTCGTAGGTTCATGACTACAGAAAAGTGTTCCCCGAGCTTCCTGAGATCGTTATATTGATAAAGTAGTATGACCTCTACGCCACGCCCTTCTACAATCACCGGATGCAGGTCTAAACTGAGGGAATGGCTTGGATTCTTTACGATTTCACACCTGAGACTTTTCCTTCAAGAAGATGCTTAAGAAATGGATAGCGGAAGGTGTCAAGACGGAGTGGGCAGCCGGACTCCACCTCTGCTACAAACTTTTCAGCCCAGTCTGCATACCTCTCAAATTTTTGGGCAACGGAGGAACTCAACTTCTCCTTGCCCAAGCCAACAAGAGAAGAGATGGAGAAGTTTGCAGCCCTATCGGCGATCCATTGAAGGTACGAGGAACTCCTTACCACCACGTGGCCATCGTTCTCATTCTGCGGCTTCTTGTGCTTGTTGAGCAGTTCTGTCCCCTCCATATAGACTCCCTTGATATCCTTCCTACTACGTAGCAAGGACACGTATGTGATTGGTATCCTCCCTGTCTTCTCAAGGGCAATGTCCAAGCGAGCGAGTGCAATCTCGAGCCTTGCGATTGTGTCTGCTCTGGACGCCTTGTCTTCGACCTTGGTTGAGATGTACGAGAACACTGTGCTCACACCCTCCTCAACGACGGCTGAAGGTAGTGCCATCAAGTTACCGTATAGCTGTTCAAGATACAAAATAATGAGAGCTGTACTTTGACACAAATATATGAAGCTTGAATTCCAAATGATATCTTACTATCTTACTGAGAAGAAACATTATTATAGACCTTTCTTGTTAATGAAATTAATTATCACGATACGGGTTAGAAGAACTGATAAATTTGTAAACCTCTTGCAAAAATAAATGCATCCCGCCAATGATTTGTTATACTCTAATTGTCACCAACAAAAATAGCTGTTGGATCTATTTTGTTGCCTAAATTTTTTTCCACCTATGCTGTTATGAAAATACACAAAAGTAACCCCCCCTAAATCCATCAAGATTTCCCACATTTAACCTATATCACTATGAAGAATAACCTGAAGTAATCCATAATCTTCTTGTCAATTACCCATCTATGCCATCATGATTTTGTATTTAGGTGAGTTGTATACATGGGTATTAAAATAATGTAAAGTAATCCCATCTATTCTGATATATAAATAATGTAAAGGAATCCCCTCAATTGTGCATCTAAATATCTCACATATGTTACTGTATAAAAATAGCCAACAATAACCCTTTGTATTTATTACATCTAAGTTATGTACCATTATAAAAAAATTAACCCATTAACACAAAAGTCAATAGCAAAAAGCTAACTGCCAAAAGGTCAGCTTTGTTCCTTCATAATTCACTTTTGTTATTACTGTAATGGAGTATTTTATTTGAGTTGCCATGTTCTTTCAGCAACCTACTGCACCATTAGCATTTTCAATGCTAAAAAAAAGGCAGGAAGACCTCTTTCATGTTTATTTTGGTTTGATAATTGAAGGCCTTTTTCATGTTAGGGAGAAGTCTATATATTTTTGGCCATTTAGCTATTGCTCAAGTATGTTTTTGGCCAAACAACTCTAAAACTAGAAATTTTTTACCACTAAGCTATCAGTATCGAACAAAATTGGTCAAATTGTACCAAAATACTGTCCTCTCCGCCTGTTGATTTAACAAAAGGAGCTACTGCTTTATTTTGAGGTGCACAAGATCTTGAGTAATATATATGGCACACAAGCTTGGGATTCTGATGGAATAAATGTAAGCCTAATCTTTACCTTAGCTCTAGATTGCAGCAGCTGCGCGCTTGTAGAGCACCAGCTGCACCCCAATCACAGCTTCGCCACGGATGGAAGGGTCCTGGTCTCCAAGATAAGGTGAGCTCAGGAAGGGAGTAGTGAAGTTGTGCACTGCTTGGATTCAGCGAGTGGGACGACCAAGCTTTTGTAGTAGTATATAAGAGTGGAGGATGGAGGTCCATTATTGTTTTGGGACCACTGTGCGAACAAGTTGGATTGGGTGCCCTCAAAACGAGCAGGAAAGGTCAGGGAAATGCAGATGATATGGGTCTGTTCCTAGGAGGAAGCTGCAGCGTAAATTTGAGATGTCAATAATTGCAAGCCTTTAGTAGCAGCCCCAACTGTCTGTGCTCTCTGATATATAATAGTCGTAGGAACAAGCACAGCAAGAAACATTTCTCTGTCATTGTGCTATCCTCATAACGGTCAAATAGCACAGCCTCATTGCCACGCTCATCAGAATACATGGCCATATATATGTTCAAACAATATAGTTTAGAACAATATGGTGGTACTAGGTAGAATACATTGCCACGCATAGAACAATATGGTGGTACTAGGTAGAATAAATAGAGCTTGATTTTAGAAGAAATTGGGAAGTGGTTTCACGGGAAACGGAGTTAGGATGAGAAAGATATGATTTTAGAAGTTTAAATATAGTTTGAGAATTAAATAGAATTTATGGAAATATTTTGGTGTATGGAAAATGGGTGAAAATAATATAGGTAGATTCCTGGGGGCATCTAGTTTATTTAGAAATTTTCTAGGAATTTTTCTAAGTAAGGAAATTAGGTATTTAACTTTACGTGTACACTAACTGGGTGTACCTAGCAATATCTGTGCGTTGTGCGCTGTGTGAATCTGGTGCGCGTGTGACAGGTGGGGCTAGGATGTTGGCGACAGGTGCCGCTGACGTGTGGGCCAGCCTAGCCCTTTAACTGGAACGGAGGGCAATGGCGTCACGACTGCGGGCCCACCTGACAGAGTAAGAGGAGATAGACGGGGCCGGCGCGAAGACGGACGACGTCACTTGGTGGTCCCATGCGACAGAGAGAGAAAGAGACGGACGGAAGAGACGGCGCCGGACGGAGGTAGCCGACGTGATGACGGAACAGGGGAAGAGGGGTCGAGCTCGTCGGAGCTTATTACGCCGGGGGCGTCGAGCCTCGGGGCAAGATGTGGAGTGGCGGACGGTGCTCAGGAGGCCAAGCCTGTGGAGGATATACCCCGGTACCCACAAGGCAAGACATGGGCTGCGCCCAAAGGTGGTCCAGCCCACAAGATCAAACGACGCATCGCAAGACTACAAGAAGATATGATTTATTGTATAATACCAAATAAGATATTTTCCTTATAACCCTACCCCTCCAGAGTATATTAGGATGGGTAGAGGTCCCTAGACAATAGATCGAATCTCATACTCAATCAATATAAAATAATTATCACCTATACAGCTGTCCTACAAGGATAGCCTTGCAATATGTAATTGGTGACTCATTCACCATCATTGCAGCACTCTGCTGCTAATAAAGTTTGCTTTTTTATCAAAAAAAAAACCCTTGTTCTTATCAACCATTCCATTTGCAATGTGTAAGTGGAGCTCACCGTCATCACAGGCCGGTCGGCAATATATTATATGCTACAACTATAAAACGGTTTACATCCTTCTCAAAGACTCTGCTTCCACAGGAATGAGAATACAGCACGAAGCTTCGTCTTGCTTTCCATGAACGGAACAGGGCAGTGAATGGGACGACCAAGCTTTACAGTAGCGAGGAAGGTAAGCGTGCCCGTGCGTTGCTACGAGATAGCAAACAATTTATACTAAAAACACACGGATCGCACGATAAGATAACAATCTGTAAAAATTAAATATCAACGTTAAAGTTACAGATTAATCCAAAAAGCAAAGTTTGTGAAATTAACGATCACGGAGAACACGGTGTCACAAAGCTTACAAACTCTACTTTATAGATCTTTCCGTGATGCGCCTAAGATAATGTTTTATACCGCGAAAGAAATCTCCGATACCCATTTCTTTCAGACACCAATAAATCCACGAATAAGTTTCACCGCATCTCCATACTATCCGCATACAAGCTCGAGTATATATGCCAATATTAGTGCCCTGCACATCGCATGGCTAATACTACGTCTCTTAAAAAATCTTCCAAAAAACCTAAAACAAAGTGTTATACTCACCGTATAAATATGTGTGGCTTTTGGTCTATTCCACATAGACATATATTTGAGAGTAAGATATCCACTTAAGTGTCTCGTGGCAAGATTCACGATCAGCGATATATAGAACTCAGATTACTCATGCCTAATCCTCCTGCAGCCGTCGCTACATAAAAGACAGCGTAGCAGCCGGTCCATACTTCCGCCACGCTGCAGCCGTTGCCTTGCAACCTACCTCCGGATGCTGGGTGGTCGGCGAGAACGAGGAGCCAGGAGCCACGGCGTGGCGGCGGTCCTCGGTGGCAGTGAAGGTAACAACACCACAAAGTTAGTTCAGCAATTTTTTGAAACGGTTAATATCATCAAACGTAGCCATCCTCAAAATGGAACCATGCTGCAGCTTATTAACATGAGCAGACTCAAGTACAAAATATACCAGATCAGTACTTAGCAAAATATTTCATATTATATAACTCCAAAGCACAGAGCATACACATCTGTCAAAACTGCAGCTTATGATGCATTCTTTCCGATAAAGTCAATCTCTCACAACTAAAAAACTAAAGAGTTCCCATAGATGTTGGTGCGACAATTACCTTCGAGTCGTCTGTCTGTGTGGAAAAAAATTCAGCATCCCCCTCACCCCGGATGCCTCCCACCCCAAGGCCGACTCTCCCACTCCTCGACGCCTCCCCTCCTTTGTGTGCTTGCAGGGTACATGACTCAGGCTAAAAAGGTAATTAGAAAATTCATTGCGGAAAATACAGCAAGGCTAAAAAGGTATACAAATCATATATTGCACGATAATGATTCTTAATTTTGTCTCCTTTGTGTACTTGCAGGGTACATGACTCAGGCTTGTGCTAAAAAGAAGATGAGCAAGACAAAAGCAATGCTTATCCTTTCAAAATGTAACTACAGAAAAATCAATGCATATCCTTTCAAAATGTAACAATAGAAAACTATAGCCTGTTCTCATTTGATAAATCAATGCTTATCCTTTCAAAAATTTTGGAGCAGGCACTATTCAAACTCACAAGAGGCAACAAAATATAGCTATTGGATTGCATTCATCTCCAGTTTCCATGTACATTTGGCAGAAAAGAAGCTTGCCGGACACAAAAAATCTAAATGTGTTTCTACAACTAATAACAATGTTACCATTATCTACCATCAAGCAAAACCACATCTTTCATGAATCAAGAATAATGGTAAATTGATTGTTACAACCTAGTGCCTAGTGCTTAAGGGCAACATAAAAACAATGCTACTAAAAGTTCACCAGCATCTGCTTCATCACAATTTGCAAAATCATACAGGTATATAGAAATATTACACAATTTTGCGTCAGTACATGACCACAGCCAGCTAGCTTCCGTCAATATTTCACAGGCAAATAAAATCTCTGCATAATGCACTGGAGGAGCATTCATGACTTACTAATGTCATAGAAAGAAAAACACACCCTCTACTGCGCCGTACTATCATCAGAATCGGTCGCATCGACGTTGCAAGTCTTGATCAGGAACCAGCACCTTCACCAGCTATGCAACCCCCACTATGTGAAAAACGATTTGTAGCAACGGAACAATTTTTTTGTAGGGGCGGTTAGTGATGGAGCCGCCCCTACAGTGACGTGCTCGGGAGCCCAGAGACCAGCCGCCCCTACAAATAAAACAGTAGGGGCGGCT